CCACCGTACACCATCTTCACCATCAGACATCAGATGCCTGTATTGGACATTACTCGAAACTCCTGTGCCAGAAAAAAGTGCCATCTTTTGCTGGCAGGTTATGAAGATGCTCCATCTTTTCTTAACCAGTGGAAGCTAAATAGGAGTCTGTGTTATTCCCTGTATACAGTACATACAGTATTATACTATAAAACACGGCGCAACGCAAAATATAGCCTAGTTGGCTTTGCCTTTGCTGGAATAATTGAGAGTCCTTTTAGTGGGAACTCATGTGCCAGAAAGATGTGCCATCTTTTGCTTGCAGGTTATGAAGATGCTCCATCTTTTTTTAACCAGTGAAAGCTAAATAGGAGTCTGTGTTATTCCTTGTATACAGTACATATATATATATATATATATTATACTGTAAAATACGGCGCAACGCAAAATATAGCCTTTAGCTTTGCCTCTGCCGGAATAATTAAGAGCCCTTTTAGTGGAAACTCCTGTGCCAGAAAGATGTACCATCTTTTGCTGGCAGGTTATGAAGATGCTCCATCTTTTCTTAACCAGTGGAAGCTAAATAGGAGTCTGTGTTATTCCTTGCATACACTAAATATTAGTATGTTGCACTATAAATCACGGCGCACGCAAAACAAAATACAGCCTTTGCTCCCGCTTTTAAGAGTCCTTCTAGTGTGAAGATGCTTCATTTTTCTTAACCAGTGGAAGCTATTGAGAGTCTGTATTACAATTATCCCTTGAAAATTATGGAGCAAAATACGTAACGCAAATATATAGCCTTTCAAAATATATTATGTTGTATAATTATATATAATCTATTTTCCGCTCCTTGCGCGACCTTTTTCCAATGTAGGCCTATTGCAATCCGTAAGGGAAAACAAACTAATAAGGAGATATTTATACCATATACCTAAAGAACGCATTGCGCATATAAACCAGAAGCATCTTTTGGCGCATCTAAGCCAAAATAGCATTGTGAATTAGCTACACCTGGAGTGGTATCTAGCGGTATCCTGTAGTCAACTGTCAACAATCGAGCCATTTATTTGTACTAAACTGTACCTAAAATATCATATAACATATATAGGTTAATATTCGGACTGAAATTAAACTTATTACATGTTTGATCTCACACTGTGTTTGAGCAGTTTCTCCTGGATTGATGATATCGCATAGCGTTAATTGTTGGTGGGTAAGCTGCACCCGCTTCCTGAAAAATGCAAACTCAGTTTGCAAATCCCGCTGGGTTTCAAAACGTGCGGCTCGTCATGGTTAAACTTATTTGATAACCGTTACCATTTTACCGTAAATATTGTTTCAATGAAGTGAAGTTTAAATTAAGAATGTTTATTGGATGGATGTGCTCTTTTATTTTTGTTTAAGGTCTTTGGGAATGCACGAAAATTAAATCATGAAGCGATTTTGATTAAAAGATTTATTCTAAATAATCAATGACCCTGGGGAATCAAATTCTAAAGTTCCAAGAAGTGTTTTTTTTATAAATACGCCTCGTTTAACGAAGGACCAAAGAGTTTTGATATCTTAGAATATGCAGGGGTAAATAATGTTCGTGAGGTTATACCGGCGGCGTTGGACAGGATGTCTCTGACAACAAACGTGTACTTTCTCACTATAGTGCGTCTAAGCACAGGTTATTGCTGTATATTAAATATTTAATAGGCCGTTTTTGGCTAATTCTCAACACTTTCAAAAATGGCTACTCAAGTTTAAACGCAGCTCTCTCGGTCAATATTGCACGAAAATGCACCGGGCGTATATCAAAATTTAAGTTAGACAATACTGAATGCAATGCACGTAGCTCACGTGTAATGGTTCTTTTAGCTTTTAAGTTAAAACAAATCAAACAGGTTAACCTTTTCTTGCGACACCCGGTATATATATATATATATATATATATATATATATATATATATATATATATATATATATATATATATATATATATATATATATATATACACTAGAAAAACAAACATTTAACCATCACATTGACATCCCTACAATTTACTTACAACTGAAACGCTCTCACAAATCTCCTAATTCATCTTCATTAACCTTTAACCCACCCTCAACTTCCTTCCCTACACCGTCTCATGATAACAATAATCACCCGCATTCGATAGTAACTAATGGCAACCAACATACTGAAATCCATCAACCAATCAGACGTTCTCACA